CGCTTTCGTATCATTCTTCACAGATATGTCGCACCGAATTAGTCACTTCCAACAGAAATACTACCAGTGTTAATCAATATATATAATTTACAATAACACGACGGCAAACTTACCAGTTCCAGCAAAGTTCAGTCGATCCTGCACTTCGTTACAAGTCAGACTTGTTAGTTCCGGTGCAGCACTGGGGCTCCTTTTTTGTTTCCAACGATTTTTTATCCCTTATTCATTGTTTGGTGAGCACCCTACTTGGGCCCTGGGGAAAATTTTAGTAGACGGACGGCAAATTCTAGAAAAAGGGGGGATGAGGGGGGGTAGAATAGGACCCCCTGATTTCAAAACTACCCCCCTTTTTTCTAGCAACCCTATAGTTCTTATATAATTTATTGTTAAAGTTTTCATATAAACGATGAATAAGATAGCAAACATACAACTTAGTGCTACCAGACTGGAATTTTGAATAATAAAAGCGGATTTTTAATTCGGAATTTTTACTTAGTAGAATTATTATTTCTGTGTTGCCGAAGAAGGGGGGCGCTGAACACATTTTGCAGAGAACACCTTTCTGCGTAGGCGGCCTTCGGCCGCACTTAGGGATTATAACTCTCAGGCAGTAGAATTCTCCTTTCTGTTTTGCGAAGAAAAGGAGCTGAACACCTTTTGCAGAGAACACCTTTCTGCGTAGGCGGCCTTCGGCCGCACTTAGGAATTATAACCCTCAGGCATTAGAATTCTCCTTTCTGTTTTGCGAAGAAAAGGAGCTGAACATTTTCTTTTGTATTGATTTCCCCTGTATTCCTTTTTAATCATTGCCTTCTTTGTATGTATTGTTTTGTACAATATGGCAACACATGTTATGTGTCAGTTTGCAACCATGTGTTATTGTAAATACATATGTGTGAAATTCAATGTAATTTACAAGTCGATAAAAGTTTAATTAAAGTGATTTATATACAAGATAAAATAAAAGAAAAGTGTGTAGAGTATTAAGTACAGTGTTATGTGCATTTATATATATAAAAGTATGCACAAATGCTTTTTTGTTAAGGAAACCAAGTGGAACGACTTAAGAAATTTTAACAACAAATAACTTATAAACAATGATATTATTTATATTTTTTAGTTATACATGTTTTAGAGGATACCTCCCTTAACATCCTGACCAAGTTTCATTTGTTAATTCCACCTGGTTTTCTTAAAACACAAGGTGCGGCTGACTACTAAAGCACACCCGGGCCCTGTTTGAGGCACGTAATAAAAACTGCATAAGTGCAGCTCTGATGAAAAGTCTGTGTAACTTCCCAATCGTTAAAACGTTGCTAGAAATTCACACCGAACATGATACCTCATTTTTTAGATGAATGCAGCAGTTGCAAACGGCTCTTTAAATAAAATTGGTTAGCTGCCAACTTTTCGTTCAACTTTCGACTCAACTAAATAATCGCTTTTAAAGTTGAATCATGTAAATCCCAAACTTTGCCACTTCACTACGGCGTTGATTACGCCCCTTAAACACCCCGCACGATATATGCTAGTAGAGATCCCATTAAAATATAACTTTAGCTTCATTTTAACATTTTTATTGAATTTCACACTATTTTTTCCACACATTTGATATTTCACTAGCTTCAAGTACTCGAAGGCGAATTTTTTTGTGCTCATAAATACATATTCGTAAACTTTATTCTAAATGATAAGCTTTTCTTTAATATCATGAAATAACTACTTTATTTGTACACATCGGTATAAGAACGCGATGCGGTAGCGGCGTTGCAACGACATAACAATGCCCGTCACTGGGCTACACATCGGTATTGTAATTTGCAGAAATCGACGATATGTATACTGGACTGGGCAAAGCAAATTGAATGTTGATCGCGAACCGTATGCAGTGAGCATTAACCGTGCCTTGCGGCCGACTCCACCGCCATCGGCCCACATAAGTATGAGGCGCAACCTCTGCCGTAGCACCTCAGCCTTACGTGAGCAAAGAAGCAGTGGGGGAAAATCTGTCTACGACAACCATGAAAATCCATATTTTGAGACACTGCAGCCACAATAACTTTCAACGCATCACATCTTGCAATTCTAAACTGCCTTTTTTTCGTTCAATATATGAATTATAAATTTTGCTTTCAGTGTTTTTTATAAATCTTTCATTCGTTATTAGTTTAATATGGTTGTATAAATTGTTCAATATGTTTTTTAAGTTTTGCTTTAGATTTTGGTATATAGGTTGTGCTTTCGTATTTGTTTTGCGCGCCACTGTTTTGCAGTTCTCTATTCCTGAAAAGAAAAGAAAATTCAAGAATTAATGGAAATTCAGTGAAGGAAAAAAAAAACCACTCAGACAATATACTTACGCAAGCAATTTACTCGAAACGTGGTTTATGAATGACAGTCGGCCATTCACGGAAATAGTTTGTTATCGATAACATAAATAAACGAATTCGATACCTTTCAGAGTCACCTCGACCTTTATTATACCCCGGTTACACGTTCAATTTTCCTAAGGCTGGTGGCACACCTATTTGCGCAGATTGAAAGCGTATAAAGGACTTTGCATTTATTTTCATAAAGATAGAGTGGGAGAATAAATAATACGTAATTATTTTCATATAATTATTCATATATCTTTCATCTTCGCGAGTCATACTTAATGCAAGGCGACATTTCCATATGAGCAACAAAAAGTCAAATTATGATGGTTGGTTAATTTTAGATGCTATTTCCGAAACCACAGGGCACTATAAAGAAGATGTGACCATACTATCTCAATCTTCCTCCATAATTTTCGTACAACCTCCATAGGAGGTAAACAGCTCACATGCCGAAGGCAACCCTGTTACACCTACCCACCAACCATTAAGCCATGACTGCACGTTCGTACCTAACAATCATAAAGGGGACTTAACACGGTTAAAAGGTTTACGATGACTAAAAATTTAGGTTTTATATTGCTCGCCATTCCAACGTTATTTTTATTCGCTTCGATCCCTAATGAAGTGGGAAACCATAATTTCAGGAGATGACTCGCTACACTACCATGCGTAAACAGGCTGAGGCAAGGAAATATCCGCTAACATGTAGGCTCTGTGGTAGCAAGCATCCGATTCGACTGTGCCCTGTGTTTCGGTCCAAATCGCCGGAGGATCGCCTTCGTGAAGTGTTAGTGCATCGGTACTGTACTAATTGCTTGTCCGGGATGCATCGTGCCGCTCATTGCACTCATCCGGGAACTTGTCGACGCTGTAAAGAGCAACACCATACAATGCTCCACATCGATCTACCAGGCGATGAACAACCGCGGCAGCGACGACCAACAAGGGCCAGTCGCAATGACGCAGACGATAGCGATGCGATTTCGTTAGTCGCGTCCGAGACTGGAGCGGAAACAATTGCTTTCCGCCCGGACTTGGAGGAAGGGGAATTGCTAAGCGCTGGAGCGGAAACCAGTGCTTTCCGCCCAGACGAAGCGCTCGGAATGGAGTCAAATGCACTCCATCCGGATTCTGCGAGCGAGCTAGAGTTGGAACCCCAACATTTCGGACAGCTCTTACGATACCAGCCAAGAGAGAGCGGATTGGAAATTAGAACTTTCCAACCGCGATACTATACCTCATACCCCCAACCTCGACGACGAGGTAACCACCCACGGCATAAGCTTCGCAACGGGAGAGTGGAATCACACGCATTCCACCTCCCTAAAAGAACCGGATTTCGGTCTGGGCAAGATCACGCCCCAATGAATCCGATACAACAACTTACCGCAGTTGCGCCAACAGCCATAGTGAGGGTAGAAGCAGGAGGACGCTTGCACCTGGTAAGAGCTTTGATTGATCCGTGTGCCGCAACATCCATTATCGCAGACGACCTCGCGCGAGAGCTGAAGCTCAGTTTAACGGCAGTCGGCAATCAACGAGGGTGTTTCATAAAACTACGCGGAAAACACGGAAATTCCACGACCATAACAATGCACGCGGTGGCCGTACGGAACTATCGGCAACAAACGCCTTTAAAAAGTCTCGATGCCACGGTCGTAGCACCATACAACAATATAAAGCTCGCCGATCCTCAGTTCCACATCGCAGCTCCCGTCCGCTTAGTGCTAGGTGCCGAAGTTTTCCCTAAGATGTTCTTAGGCGCCAGCGGGAACTCTCGGTGCGCTACTAGCGCAAAACACCATTTTCGGATGGGTACTGTCAGGCGCATGCTAAACACATTTTTGTATGACTTTATTTTGTTTTTTTTTCATGATGAATCAATAACTGAAAATTTTTCGTATATATATTTTGTTATATTTCATGAGTCAACTTTTTTTTTCAAAATGAATTATTAAATGAAAATATATTATATAATATTATTAAAAGTGCAGTTGAATTTGAAACCCACGTCTTTTATTTTTAAACTTTCTTTCCTTATAGAATTTAGGTCCATAGATGAAGAACTGAATTGGGGAATCTAGATTTAACGTATTTTTATCGTGTAACGTGGTATAGAGGTTGGATCACATGGTTCTTTGGATGTTGCTTATAGCAAGGGGGCCGGCATGTTTAGGCCTCCGCCTAAATAGATTAGAAAGAGGACACCCCTAATGTTTAACATTGCGTTAGCATTGCCGCTGTTAACTTTCCCCTCGCTTTCTATTTGTTTCCGTTATTGGAATAGTACTACTTGAAAACATCTTGGCAGGCTACCGCCATTATAATAAAAAACTGTTCACTTACTTCTTTTGCGAGCATCCAGAGAAGAGGACGTGATCCAGCCACCATACTACAGCGTATTCAAAGGTAATCTACAAAAGCAATTTGTATATATATATATATCCACAGCACATTTTTATATGAATAAATCCACATATTTAAATTAATCAAAATACTAATACCACATATGAATAAATCCACATATTTAAATTAATCAAAATACTAATACCACTTTGTGTTCTTTCTTTTGCGGAAAACAAATCGGCACAACTGGTTCCAATCGTTGTGGCGATTAGTCAACTAAGTTAAATTTATATTTATTAAACCTACCGATGCTTTGCTCTGATGCACTGTAGCATCCAATGCACCCAACTTCACTTTCCCCTTAAGTTCCTTGGCGGCTTTAGCCCATTCAGGAGCCAAGTTCTTGCAATGACCACACCATGGTGCAAAGAATTCAACCAACCAAATATCATCTGAATTCAAAACCAGTTTGTCAAAATTGTCATCAGTCAATTCAATGACAGCATCAGCACCGCTGCCACTGCCGCTGTTACTGCTGCCGCCGCCCCCGCCGAGCACTTCTTGTACCTTCTTTTTGGCCTCGGCCAGTGCCGCCTCCGCAATAGCTTTAGCTGTGCGTTGACCATTGTAGCTGGTAGGCGAACGCTTGTTTGTGCCGAATATTTTGATGGTGGGGAAACCTAGTACACCAACTTTAACAACACCTTTCAGCGCTTTAGCGGCTTTCTTGTATTCTGGTACCAGCGATTTGCAGTGACCACACCATGGTGCAAAGAATTCAACAACCCAAATAGCATCATCCTGTATGACAAGGCGATCAAAGTTGGAGGGCGTTAATTCTACCACGTCATCGCTTGGCGAATATAACAGGCTAACCTAATATTCACGCACGCCGCCAATTTACTGTCAAAAATTTCTCATGCACATGCAACTTGTATGAGATCAACCGAAATTGAACGGCGTGCGTATGAAGCTAACTCAATTTCCAATTTTTGTTATGCGTGACATTTTGATTTGACGTTTCGCTCAATGAAATCAAAAGCAAACGCATGCAAGTCAATTTCGGGTGACGCAAAAAAACAAATTCGACGGCATGCGTACCAAAACGCAAGCCGCGAATATTAGGTTAACCTGTAAGGCAGAAGCCGGCTTCGGTGCCGTGGCCGCTGCGGCTAGCAAGAAAATTGCTGCAGAGATAAGGGCATGGTTTATTAAATAAATAGTGTTTTACGTATTATGAAGAAACTTTGATTGTAATGAGAATTTTTAAGTCGAGAGTAAAATTAACTTGCTGTCTCCACAGGCAAAAGTTTTTATCTTGATAATGTTATCAGGCAAAATTTTGCCCATGGAGACCGCATATTGCTCTTGGCAAGCAATAATTATCAGAGCTTTTATCTTGATAAATATTGCCAGCAATTTGGTACTTTGACAGCTACATTTTCATTTGCGCGATAGCTTCGTGGAGACAACATTATCGATATTTCAATATAAAAGCAAAAATTGAACTGTTTTCTATTAAAATATGTGTTATTATTTGCTTGGCTGTCAAATAGCATATTTTTTAAACTTTTTATCAAGATAAAACATGCCCACGCACAAATATTGCCGCTGATAAAATTTGTATCAGGCAATAAAAATAACAGTTGGTAGGCAAAAACTTTTGCCTGTGGAGACGGGCCGTAAGTGACTAAATACATAGCAACACTTTGATACTTACCTACAAAAAATTTAAACTTGTCCATTTCAGAGTTGGCAATAGAAGCTTCTCCCACCACGTTTGTTTTATAAGTTTTGTAATATCTCAATTAGATCACGGAAGACTTTGTGTTCAAGCAATTATTCATGTATGATTAATTTTCTTTGTGTAAAGACATATTTTTTCAATTTCACTAGACCAAAATTATTTTCGCAGCTTTTTCTACTTTTCCAATCCAAATCAGTCAGTTCTTTGACTTCTTTTACACAGTTCAAGTATTGAATTCAATTCTGCTCGCATGTGGAAGAGAGGGGGTGAGAAGAAAAGGGACGAGTACACATGCGTCTGTACCAAGACGAATTTATATAAGGTGGTGTTACTAGCTCAGCTGATTTTGTGTATGTGTTTCGCCGCACGGCTTCTGATATCAAATTGAAAAATTTTGTTTGAATTTCTACACACACTCTTACAAATTTTGACAGTTTATGCCGCCAAAGCAAAAACAAAATACATGTAAATTTTTGTTTTTGTACTCCTGCTATCACCTTATATTAATTCGCCTTGGTACAGACCAAGGTACATTGAACAGGTAGTATCAGTAGAGCAGCTGATTTGATTTATTTTCAAATTATTTGGTCTCGAAAATGTCAAATATTTTTAATTTTTCCTCAAAAAAATTCTGAATTGCTAAAATCCATTTGCATGTGAAACCTTTTTCCATACAAAGGGCGTGTGTGAATCGGTAGCAAAGTTCTATGGGGAAAGCTGTTGAATAATATTTTTACTATGGAGAGACAGTTTTGCCAATCTGCTGTGTGAAATGAAATCTTTTTTGACAGCAGTAAATTTTTCATAACCGCAGATTTATGCGCAATAAACTATTACAAATTGAGTGAAATTAATATTTTAAGAAAACATCTACCATCATTGATTGCAGTTCATCAACTTAAGCTTTTATTTTACGAAAAATTACACACAGCAACAATCTTTGCAATTGTCAAAATTTTCTATGCATTTGTCAAAAATTTCACTAGCCCTATGGCTACTGAAATTTTATTCACCTCAAACTTGTCAAAAATTTACTTGCCGCGAACTTTGTTACCGATTCACACACGCTCAAAACAAGCGATTGAATAGCTGCTTTTGGAACGTTCGCCCAACTCGGCAGCACAACCGCTGATTACTGGGCCTTGCAAAGGATGGATCAATGCTTCGAGAAGCAAACAAATTTACTAGGAAAGAAAGTTGCATCAATTTTTATTTTTTCCAATTTCAATTTTTTATTTTTTATAATTTTTTGTATTTCACATGGCACGCTTTGATTTAGAAGAAAAAATTCAGAACAGTTTTTGACACTTTCGATACCAGAAGCAACAACAAAATACACGCAAATGTTGTTTTTGCTCTACTGATACTACCTGTTTAATGTACCTTGTTCTGTACCGTCAAGTCGTTTCAACTTTCTTGCTTTGCTTTTGGCATTTTCGTTGCTTCCCTTTTAAAGAACCAAAAACTTGAATTCAACAGAATTGAAACGTGTAAAAGCAAATAGAAAACACAACAGAGAAGGAGCAAGAATTGCTTTCAAGTACTTGAATCATGATTCAATAATACAAGGTTAGATAATTATTGACAGCTGCGGTTTGACACTCCCTTACAAAAGGTTGCATTTACGGAGGACAGAGAAAGGGCAAGAATGCAATCGCTTGTTTCGAAAATGGTATTAGAAAAGTACGCAAAGTAGGCAATTAGTAGTGAAATTCCTTTCGTAAATTCTAATGTATTTGCAGGAAATCTGGTATTTTAAACGAAATGTTGAACGTAATATTGATATATCTACGTGAATTACGTAATTTATATGCTATTTAGCCGTATAAAAACTGCAAAATGACTCAAAATTTAAATAAGATACTATGAGACTGATGTAAACATCCAATGCATATGTTTTCATCAGTTAAATATGCTTCATATGCATATACAAATAAAGATATTGCGCAAAAGCTTATACTTTTATTTGACACCAAAGCTACACTGTTTCAATGTAAAATTGCAAAGAAGCAACACGGTGCCACTGCTAAGGGAGCGGTGCGAGAGAGACAACTGTCAGTTTATCGAACCTTGTATTATTGAATCATGTACTTGAATCATGTAATAAATCGGGTGTTCTTAAATACTGCTTTCGCTCTTAATTCTTCTCTTCATTATATCTGTCTATTTCTGATTGGCTAATTTTTAGTACTTTTTCACCAGCATTGCCATGTTAACAGTTACTAGAGATGAGCGATATGGTGATTTTTTGCTATCAGTGAACTCAGTGACTGCGATTTTTTAATCACCATAAACTTTTAGTGCGGATAGAACTTTGGTACTGATTGGCAGGGGCCTTTAGAGATAAGTGGTAGAAGTGGTGAAATTGGGAAAATTTTCCAAAACGTATCCAGGCTTTGAAAAAGAATATATATATTAGGGAGTATAGAGGAGCTTTTTCTGATTCTAAATCCGAAGACCCCGCCCTCCGGAGGCTTATCGTTTTTAAGTAATTCGCATTTAAAGTTGCAAAAAAATACCGATTTTTTGTGAAAATACAGTTCATTCAATAATGTAAACCATATATGTAAATCAAAGTTTCATACTTTATATCGATGGCTGAGTGGAAGATCGACCTATCTCGGTAGCCGGTTCGAAAACGCCCTGTCTTAGAAAACCCTTTAAGAACGCCCTACTTCAGAATTTTATTGAAAAACACTCTGTCTCAGAATTTTGTTGAAGAACGCCCAATTTCAGAGTTCGGTTCAAAGGTGCCCTATCTCAAACGAAAATACATTGAAAATAAGCTGAGATAGGGCGTTTTTGAATCGGCAGCTGAGATAGGGCGTTATTCAACAAAATTCTGAGGTAGGGTGTTCTTCAATCAAATTCTGAAGTAGGGCGTTCTTGAAAAGTTTTCTGAGATAGATCGATGTTCAAAAATTTTCTGAGATAGGGCGTTTTCGAACTGGCTGCCGAGATAGGTCGATCTTCCACTCAGCCATCGATATAAAGTTCTTAAATTTAATATTTTTCATGAAAATAATTGTGAATATCATACTAGGTATACTATAAGTAGATTATCCTCATTTTCGAGCGTAACTCCCTAATCTGTAATTAGAAAAAGAGATAAGCCATACAACATTCGTCCCTCCTTTATCTGTAACTATAAAGTAATCTTAGTTTAAACCGATAACTTTTCGGTGTTAAACCAAGTTTTATCGATTATTTTTGCGGAGAAATGCCAAATGTAAATGTAAACAAAAATGGACGATAGTAAGGAAAAGAGGTTTGTAAAGGTATATTTAATAAAACATTAAGTCAAAATATATTTAAATTGCTTAATATAGCAGAAAAGTTGATTTACAGAGAAAAAACTTAGCTTTTCCTAAAGATGTGAGAATAATAAGCACAACAAAATTGAAGGCTAATAATCTGATACTTGTTTGTGTAAACGGGATGATTAAAACCCGAGCTTCGATTGAGATTATATTTATGTGTAAACATACTTTAATATTAGAATAAGGTGTACATTAACAATTGACACTGCCTCTATATGCACAAATGCAAACAGATATGCACAGAAAGTATTGCTATTTTTGTTAACGTTTAATATTATAAAAAGTTATGTAAGTTTATTTTGATGGACGGAAAAAATGGTACATTTTATTTTATTTTGGGTCTTTTTACTTGGAAACTGTG